AACAATTGCATCCAAAGCAAGTTTGGGAGCTGACTGCACCTGCACATCACTGCCCTGTGGAAGGAAATAAGTCTTTCGTGGTTCTGAGGCAAATGAAACACATCTGAAGAACCAAGGCAGTCTCCCAAATAGCTATCATTTTCAAGCAACTGCTAGCACTTTCAGTACAATACCTCATTATGTCTGCAACAGCCCAGTGGAAGGAAGGCCTGATGGCACTCCCATCTCAGTGATTAAGGGAGGGAGAAAACAGTCCTAGTTAGAGAAGATGACTGGGCTGGGGACAAGCAGCCTGAGGATGACTATGCTTCTCTCCATACCCAAAGAGAACGCCAGCACTGTGGGATACCAGTCAGACATCAGCAGAGACTTCAAAATAAGGAAGTGCGCTTAAGGAAGTTCATCGGGTTTGGTAACCATGGAGATGGATTTTTCTGAGCTATTTAATGGAACTGAGACTGACAACCTGGGAAGGTCTGTTTATTTACATCTGAGTCTGTTTTATTACATCTGTGTACTATAGGAATCAAAGCCAAGCCACTGAGCAAAATGGCTTATACTTCCCCAGCCAGGGCCCAAATGCCCTAGAGATTTTGGGGCAGAATTCCAGAACTACAGGACATCTTACCAGAGAAGAGCTGATAGACAGCACTCAGTCCAGGCATAAAGAGTCTTTAATAGATGTTAACAGCCATCTCTTCAGATCCTGCTTCTCTGCCCTCAAGTGCAAGGACTGGATAGGGAAGAGGGAAGAAGAAAGGAACATGCTTTCCCCCCCCCCACTTGGTTTCTGAGGGCAGCATCTATGCTGGGACAGTGGAAAGGGCAGTGGAGAATTTCAGGCCAGGTTTTGCCACCGATTCCTAAGTGTCTTGGTTTCCTCTCCCTATAAAATTAGTTGATTGGCCTAACTGATGTCTACAGTTTTCTCTGTTGGCTCTCTAATCTTGTTTAACCCTGGTAACCACAAGAAGCTAGAAAGACCTTGTGCTCCTCACAATGAGAGCACACACATTTTGGTCAGGGATTCCTGGGCCCTGGATGAAAGTTGAAGCAACAGGATCCTCTGAGATACGGAGGTGCTCCAGGCTTAGCATCCCCTTATCTGACACTGAGAACCAGGAAGCACACAAATGAGAGAGAGGCGGGGCTGTCTCTGGCCCCCATCTGAATTAAGACCTTCTCCCCAACATTACCTCATCCAGCCTGTGGCTTCACATGTGCTGTCCAGGCTAGGGATCCTGGCACCAGCCGGGAGGCCGTCAGATGGAGGAGAATCCCAAGCTCCACCCAACCTGCTCAATCAGCACCGGCATTTTTGTAAGGCCCAAAGTGATTTATGCCCACCATGATCAGAACACCATGATTACGACGCTATAATTAGGAGCGGCTCTATTAAAAGCACTCTGATTCCTTTGCAGCTTTTGACACAACTCACCCTTCTAATTTTATATTTATCTTTTTAAAGTGACTTCATTATTTTTTTACATTTATAGTTCATATTTATTTTGGATATGCATACTTTATTTTTTTTCAAAATTTTATTGATAAATAGATAGCAATGAGACAGTTTCAAATCAAATCAGAAATACAGTTTCAACAAATAACACACTGCATATATTCTTCTTAGTAGTTAATTGCTGTACAAGATGTGGACTTGAGATCCTATTTACAAACACCACTAGAACAAATCATTCTATTCATTAAGAGAATGCAACTATATATCTATCCTAACCACTTTGAGTACACAGATACAAAATGGACATTCATC